GGACTCCACCCCCTAGCCAATCAGTGACAAGCAGTGCTCTGACATTTTGGTGTCGACTGGGACTGCTTGGAACCAAGATGAGTAGGTACTAAAAAAGGGGTGGTTCTATGAATCGGTTCTAATGGAAATGGCTTGGAACCATTCCGAACCGTACAGACACTACACCAAGTGACCTTAGTGGAAAAGGGGCATTAGAGTCTGTGTCTTATCTTGCGWAGTCCTTAAAATGTAAACTCTTTAGACATGTTCATGTATATTTGTTTATTGTATAGTCTTTATTGTGACATAATGATTATACATTTATTGTACATTTTTCTAATGTCACTCTATAATATTTGKTTTTTATGGACCACACACCTTCACATTTACCCCACTGTTACCATCCGTCCAAAAGGTCCCTCTGTGCCCATACTCTCTGACAGTAGTCCCTGTCCTAAGATATCAGATTAGCAATTAACTTTCAGAGTGCCCATTCTAGTTCACTTAAAAAACAAATAAAAAAGACAAAACCTAGAATATTGTAAAAAAGTTCATTTTTTTATTAGTTCAAAAAGTGAAACTTATGCATTTCATAGATTCCATTATCTTTTACCCGCTTCTTCATTTCAGGGTCATGGGGTGACTGGGACCCATATCCAGCAGTCACTGTGAAAGGGGCAGAGTACACCCTGGACAGGTCACAAGTCCATCACCAGACAAACAACCTTTCACCCTCTCACTCACACCTAGGGTCATTTCAGTCACCAATTAGCCCAGCATGCATGTTTATGGTTTGTGGGAGGAAACCTGAGTACCAGGAGAAAACCCACACATGCACAGRGAGAACATGCAAACTCTACCCAGAAAGGTCCAGAGCTGGGAATTGATTCAGCAACCTTCTTGGTGAGAGGCAGCAGCTCTACCAACTGAGCCAGTTTACTTAGATGTATTACACATACTGRTACTACTGYATATCACTGTTGATTCAACCATCATCTATGGTTATTACCATAAACGCCATTCAAATGAGTATATTTTAAATGTCTTCAACATGGATTTGGTATTTCTGCAACCATGTTTCAACATTAATTCACTCATGTTTTGCTATCTGGGAATGCTTTGACGAATTTTTTATCATGTTTCAAACATTTTGAAGAGGTGAGGTTTGACCAAAAGTGCAAGCAAAAAGTTTTTTTGCACTTAATTAAGCTTTCCATGTTGAGTTCATTTTAGTTGTTTAAATCCTGTATGTATTTGTCTGTTGATTTACAACACTCTTGGTTCCACCAAKGTACAGGTTTACATTTCTTTCCAACACGTAACATTGTACTCTGTCAAAACAAAAGCTCGGCAATGAAAACACCAACAACCACTAGATGGTGACAAACGGTGTTTATTTTATATGCCATGAAGTACATTTCGTAGAAAGTATATGAATAAACAGTATTTTGTTTATAAAAATGACTTGGCTATTTAAAAAATATTGATGTAGATCCTTACAGTTTAAAAATAGTTTCATGTGACCATATCCAATGCAAACTGGAAATGATTTTATTTGTTTAACTGTATTATAGAGTAGATATGCTGGTATAAAGTATATTCTCACTCATCCAGGATGTAGAAAATAAAAATAAAAAAACGAAGCAAGTGGACTTCTGTTTGTAAAAGTCTGGTCACTTACTTTTCTCTTTTTTTCCTTTTCTTTCCTGTACATTAAACGGTGAATCAAAACATTGTGAAATCATTAGAAAAAGTCAGTTTTGACAATAAATCCTATAACTTCATTTGTACTGTAAATACCTATTTTTATATACCTTGTGTGCTATTAATTGCAGTAAAAGCACACATATAAAACAATCAACGATGTAAAAATTTGTTTGTTAAAAGTTGTTACAGGGTTTGGTTGAATCTGGGTGATTTTAAGGCAGAAATACTCTGTTCTGAAGTGTTTTGTCAAAAGTACTTGCGACAAAGCTTGCAACAAGTAATTATTGAAGGTACATCTTCAACTTATTTCTCTTTGAACAGAATCCAATTTAAGCTACAAACTGTTGCAGTAGTAGCTGAAGCTGATCCCCAACTGAGCACTAATAATGTGCCTAAGGTCTTTACTAAAAATGGTGCCATTGACCACTTAAGAATTTGAATGTCTTCATAGTTTTAAAATGTTCTTGTACCCTGTACACATTCAAGATGCCCTGTGTCAGATTCAACAAAAAGAACATTTAACTCCATGTCTTCTCCATGTTTTACAGCTACAGTTTTGATGTTTTTTTATGTTTCAGTTTGGGTCTGTGAACATAAAGCTGATGGAACTTGATACTAAAGCTAAAGGTTTGTCTCACCTGCCCAAAGGAAATTCTCCCAGAAGCTTTGTGGCTTCTCAGGATGCATTTAGGGAAATTCCAGTTTAACTTTTTAAGATTTGGTATTCTCCTTGGGAATTTTCCATTAAGTCTACTCTAGCTCAAACAGTGACCAATGGTGCTATCTGACACTGATGTACTCAGAGATTTTTTATTAATAATCGTCTTTTCAACAACTCTTGCGTTCATGCCCAGGTTGGCCATAGTCCTGTGGATCTAAAACCTCTGAATAATGTGTGTGGCTGCAGTCAGAGGAGGAACAAGCTAATTGGAGAAGGTCTCATAGCATTTACCTTTAACATACTTGTAAATACTGTTATTGTCTTTCTGAGCACCTGAGACAACTCTATTCTAATGTCCTGATAAATCTCAACAATCCAGGTAGAAAACTAACAAAGTTAGGTCCTCTGGACGGGTTCTTCTTTGTTGAAAATTTGTTTTGTCTCTCCTCCAACAGGCTTCTTCTGTGTGAGGAGTAACAGGTGAACTCAGTCTAATGAGCAGTGCCTCAAACAAGTTTAACAATGACAATCACAACTGTTAGTTTACAGGCAAAAGTGATTATTATAGATGGGTGGTTGGGCTTGCGATACACATTCAGTTTCCAACCGGACTCCATCTGAGACGTTACAGTCCAGGAAAGCCAACCTGCATGTAACATGAAAAAACCCACCCACATAGACCAGTTTTTGTGGTTTGACTGCCATCACCCACTGTAACACAAGTTAGGGGTCCACGGGACTCTGTACCACAGAGCAGACAGTGTCCCCACAAACCCAGGAGGCAGGGAGAAAGAGAAATCACACACAAAACAGGTACTAGAGCAGTGTGGATTTGCCAACTGGATTATCCTCAATGCAGACAAGAAACACAAACAGGACTCCAGCCACCAGGTGAATATGAAGACACCAGACCAGTCGTCATTCCATATGTGGCGGGAGTTTCAGAAAATCTGAGACGTTTATTCTCTAAGCATGACGTCCCAGTGCCTTTCAAACCCCAAAACACATTACGACAAAGATTAGTTCACCCCAAAGATCCAGTTCCCCAACGAAAACAGAGTAATATTGTGTATGCTGTTAAGTGTCAGGAGGGAAACAAAGCAACCACTGCTCAAAAAGATGAGCCAGCACAGAAGAGCCACATCATCAGGCCAGTACTCTGCAGTTTACACTCATCTACAGACCAGTACTCTGCAGTTTACACTCATCTACAGACCAGTACTCTGCAGTTTACACTCATCTACAGACCAGTACTCTGCAGTTTACACTCATCTACAGACCAGTACTCTGCAGTTTACACTCATCTATAGACCAGTACTCTGCAGTTAACACTCATCTACAGACCAGTACTCTGCAGTTAACACTCATCTACAGACAGTACTCTGCAGTTAACACTCATCTACAGACCAGTACTCTGCAGTTTACACTCATCTACAGGCCAGGACTCTACAGTTTACACTCATCTACAGACCAGTACTCTGGAGTTTACATTCATCTACAGACCAGTATGCAGTTTACACTCATCATCAGGCCAGTACTCTGCAGTTTACACTCATCTACAGGCCAGGACTCTACAGTTTACACTCATCTACAGGCCAGGACTCTGCAGTTTACACTCATTTACAGAGCAGTACTCTGCAGTTTACACTCATCTACAGAGCAGTACTCTGCAGTTTACACTCATCTACAGGCCAGCGGTCACTCTTTCAGGGATGAAGATGTTCTCATCCTTGATAGAAAGGAATGTTGGTTTGAGAGAGGAGTAAAAGAAGCCATTTTATGCAGTGAAACTGTCCATCCTTAAATAGGGGAGGAGGTCTCGGTGCACAGTAGTCCCCCTCCTACAATTATGTTATTGCAAGAATGACTCAGCCCTCTGGTAACAATAGGTGATAATCAGGACCCTAACTATTTACTGTTAGGCTGATGATCCCCTTTGCATGTAAATTAATGGTTTTGATTGTCATTGTTATACTTGTTTGTCCACCATGTGGAGGTGCTGCTTATAAGGTTTAGTTCACCTGTAATTGTTGAGACGTTTCTTGGAGGAGAGACTAAATGCTTTTTCAACAAAAAGAACCCGTCCAGAGGAGATGTATTTAACTTTTTTTACTCTGTCTTAAACTGTCTGTGGTCCATGTTCAGTGTGGTATACAACATAATATCAAACAGAACTTGACAACTATTTTAAATGGTAAATGGACTACACTTATATAGCACCTTTCTATCCAACCAGAATACTCTAAGTGCTTCACACTACAATCTGTGTCCTCATTTACCCATTCACACAGCACACTATTATCTCTCTATAAAGCTAATACAAGTAAATCCATCTATAGAGACTAATGAGATTTAAAATCAAACTCATACACTGATGGGACACACATCAAAGACAGTGGGGGTCAAGGGTCTTGCCCAGGGACACTTGGACATATGACAGAAAAGTGGGAAATCGAATAGCCAACTCTCACATTAGAGGAACGACTGCCTTAACCGCTCTGCCACAGCCACCCCCATTTAAATAGGCAGACTGACTAGATTGAAGACAACTGTGGTGCTAATTACAGACACACCTTAGTTTAGAATGTCTATTTGATCAAATTATTTTTAATTTTACTCACCATTACTTTTGCCAGTTTCAAGTTCTTATCAGTGACCATTGTGTGTTTTTATTTCCTTTACAAACGGGTCCCAATCAAACCAATCTAAATCTGTATCTGATGAATCATTGACCAAATTTCAATGAAACGTTCAGGAAAATAAGTCATTGGTTTTATCTCTACAACTGATCAATATTTCAAACCAGTTCAGTTCAAGACATGTTAAATCCATCTCAACTTATAAAACACAAAATAGCTATAATTCAATACATTTTACAGATATAGTGCTAACATTTTGATTGTTTGAAACTGAGAGTCTTTCACAATAAACACACAAAGTGCTACTTAATGCACAAGATTGTTGCATAAAGATTTAGTATTAACTCATGGAGTCAAACCAATTTGTCTGTCAGCAAAATATTTCATGAACCACTGAATAGATTTCAATAAATCTTTTGGATATAATCAGTGGATGTCTAAAACTGAACAGCTACAAAATTAACTAAGTACATTTTTCAGATATTGAGCTGAATTCCTATTGTATCTGAGAGCCATCCAAGACAAAAACTAAATGTGACGTCTTGTAATATTGTGTGACGTTGTACTTGAAGTTTTTTTTAAGGTTTGACAACATAAGTTTATGTTTGTCTAATGCTCTGACATGAAAGGTGACAGGTGAGATGCAATCCTTCAAGGAATGCCAGGCTTTGGATTGAAACCATATGTTTGACTTGTAACAACAGATTTCTGAAGTTCTATTTACTGACTGAGGTTTTATAAATTAAATGACCATAATTATATATAATATTACTTTCAAAACTAGCAGCCAAACTGTATGTGTGTGAGCTTCTAGAAAAGACTTTGTGCACATTTGGGAATTTTGTCAAGTTTGTACTGTTTATAATACGGGTTAAAACATTTACAATTCTGCAATTCTTTTCTTTTTTTTATATATTTTATCTCAAATTTAACAACAAATATGCGTGCTTCTTTTTAAACCCAGGTAACACAATGCCTTTTTTGAGTGAAACAGTAGCATGTCTGATGCAGTTTGGCCTTCAGGTACATAATAACAGCAGCTGTTGTTTTCTCTGACTCCAAAGCTTTTTGAATCCAGGTCTCAGAGTGGAGGTTTTTTGGAAACCCCCTAGCAATTTATGTAAAATTGTGCACGCATATTACGGATGGCTGCAGTCAATATTTTGTCTGGTTTGAAGATTTCTGAGTAGCACTGATCTCAAATTCTATTATGGCCGACTTGTGCATGAAAAGCTGCAATAGCTGCAGGAATAAAATTTGATTTTCATCTCTGTTGTTGTCTCAAGAATTTAGCCACACAGATTACTAACATTATCACTATCAATAAATGTTGAAACTTCTAATCTTTTTGTATTGTCAGAAAGAAACGTTGAAAGTCTCAGAAGGCTTCATTTGCCCATGTTAACCTTCCTGTAAGAAGATCCTCTGATTAGTATCTCAGTTTAGGCCTTTCTGTGGGGAGTTTGTGTGTTCTCCTTGTGTTCCTCATGGACTTCAGCTTCATTCCATGGTTCTAAAGACACACACGTTAGGTTAACTGAGTTCATTTAAGTTTAGGTAATGTTAATGTGTGTGTGTGTGCGTGCAGTGAGGGTATACCAATGCACAATAGTCTCACCACTACACCACTACATGCATCAACCCCAGTCTGTTAACTGCTGGACTCATCCCCAACAACCCTGGAAAGTGAATGAATAAGAATGTGGTTCCTTTTTTAATCCTGCCTTGGCTTTCATTAAAAACAAAAAACAAAATGAAACAACACAAAAACAAAAACAGTTAGGCCAGAATGCTCTGACAAGGCATCGCAAAATTTTGCTTTCTTTTCTTATCTTGGTTTTCTGAACTCTACTTTCACGGAACAGCTCTTGAGTCAAGTTCTTCATCTGCCATCTTCTTTTTCTTTGCCGTGTCTTTCATCTTGTCACTTATTTTCCCAGTCTTCTTTTCAACTGCTGTCGCTGCTTGAACTTCATTCCTGAAAACCAAACACACATAAATTAAAATGGAAAATTAAAAAATGAACTGTGGGCCACGATAACAGTTCATGATTTGAATATTATATTATATTATAGGACTCTACATTTAAACTTTAGACAGTACAGCTACTGAATAACATTACCAGAATACACTGCCCTTTAGATATAGTCCATGAATGGGCCAGCACCACAACCGGGCCAGTTGTAGTATTGGCAGATTGTGGCATACCATCTTAAAAACAATGCAATCATTGCCAGACCTGTGTCATGTTTTGCAAGGAGCACTCACACAAACTAAAATGTAGAAGCCCACCAGGATCTAACAAGCTGTCATGCCAGCAGTGCCATCTTGACACCACATATGGCCGACACCTGTCTGCTATGTAGCTGTTTTTTTTCATCTGGCTTGTTTTAATTTAGAATACAGCATTATTATTTTAACTCTTAAACAAGTGACTGATCATGTAACTTTCTGCCTTTCATCAGCATTTTTGCAGGGTGGTGATGTGACCATGATGACAGTGATTTTCCCTGTTGGAGAATTTCTTCTTTGTCCTCTCTCGTAGTTTGAAGACTGCAGAATTTGCCTGACCTACTCAGCACTGATTTATTAGTGACACCTGGACGTCAGCTACCAGTAATTGTCTCTAACTCACTTACAGACTCCAGTGGAAACATATTTTCAAAAGCTCACAATCAACCCTTGTGCTCCATTTTACACATTACAGCGGGAAAAATAAGTATTGAACACGTCACCATTTTTCTCAGTAAATATATTACTAGAGGTGCTAATGACATGAAATTTTCACCAGATGTTGGTAACAACCCAAGTG